TTGCTGCTATGGATATAAGAATGCGAATTGTATCCAGTTTGGCTACCGGTGCAAATGTCTCTTGGTAATCCACCCCGTATCTTTGTGTATACTACTTTGCGACCAACATCGCTTTATATCTATCAATGCTTCCATCTTCATTAAGTTTCACARTGAACACCCATCTACATCCGATTGTTTTCTTTCTTTCAGGTAGTGAGACAAGTTCCCACGTAGAGTTCTTCTGCAAAGCTTCCATCTCTTCGTTGATTGCCTTGGCCCAATTTGGATCTATCAAAGCTTCCTGCACACTACTAGGAATAGATACATTGGATAATTGGTTAATAGTAAGTGCATATGATTTAGACAACCTATGATTAGAGACATAATTACTGATTGGATATTTCACATTGGCTTTGGCATCAGGTTCATATTGTTTCTTTGGAATGCCCTTGTTTGATCTTTGAGAATATCTTGAAACTAAGTTTTCATGAGGAGCAAGAGATTCATTAGATATGACAGGTGTCTCACAAGAATCATGTATTTCACAGGAATCATTAGATATGGGATTCGAATCATGTGTTTCACAGGATTGTTAAATATGGGATTCGAGATTACCTGGGGTTTAACATTCTGAGTTGATTCTTCAGTTAATGGTGTTAACATAGGAAACTATATACTCTCTGGTAACTCCTCATGAGTGTTACTTCTCTCAAGCCTTTCATGTATTGCTTCTAGTTCTGAGAACTCATCTCTGCTACCTTCTTGTGACATTTTTCCTTCACTGGAACTCTCCCCCTGAAGGGAAAATGTTGAAACTTCGTCTGARTAATATGGTTCAGATTCCCAAAAAGATACATCCAAAGTCGTATGTAGTTTATTGGTTTGAGGATCATAGCACCGATGTCTTTTCTGAAAATTTGAATAACCAACAAAAGCACAACGTTTTGCACATGGATCAAGTTTAGTTCGCAAAACTTTTGGAATGTGAACATAGACAGTACAACCAAAAACTCTAGGTTCAAGATTCGGAAGATGCGGAATAGAAAGTAAGGACTGCATTTTTTGTTGAGGTGTATGAAATTCCAACACTCTAGAGGGTGACCGATTAATTAATACAACAGATTTGACTGCCTCTCCCCAATAGAACCTAGGCATGTTCATTCCAAATAGTGAGGCACGAACCACTTCCAATATTTGTCTATTCCTTCTCTCCGCTAACCCATTCTGCTGCGGAGTATAGGTACAAAAAGTCTGATGTTGAATCCCATATTGAGTTAGATACATTTGAACAGATGTATCTATAAACTCCATGGCATTATCGGTTTGCCAAGTACAAATCTGTTTCTGATACTGAGTACCCACCATACGATGAAATCCCTGAAATACTGTAAAAACATCACTTTTTCTATGAAGTAAAGACACCCAAGTCATTCTCKTACATTCATCTATAAACGTAACAAAATAACGAGCTTTTGAGAGAGAAGGAATTTTAGCAGGTCCCCATACATTAGAGTGTATAACTAAAAAAGGTTCTGAACTTTTATTCAAACTTGGTAAATAAGAAATACGATGGCTTTTGGCTAGTTCACAAACATTGCAATAAAAATCTGAATCATTTAAAACTGAAAAAAGATGCGGTTGTAATTTCTTAAGATATCCAAAAGAAAGATGTCCCAATCGCCGGTGCCATAACCATATGATTGCTCAATCTTTATCTTCACTTCTAGTCTGATATACATGGCTGAATTTTTGTCCTTCAGTTTTTGTGAATTCCAAGTAATAGAGTTTGCCGTGTTTAACACCATAACCAAGAATCTTTCGGGTCAAAATATCCTGGAAAACACAGAATGAAGGCCAGAAAGTTACAGTACAATTAAGAGTAGAGGTAATTTGGCTGACCGACAAAAGATTACATTTAAGACTTGGTACAACCAGAACTGAATTCAATGTGAGAGTGTTAAACAAGACGACAGATCCGACTCTAGTAATAGGAGAGGTACTACCATTAGCTGTAGATATAAAGGATTGGGAAGGTGAACTAATGGATTGCAGATGACTAGAGTCTCTAATCATATGATCGGGTGCACTTGTATCATAATCCAAGTACCATTCATAGAAGTTGCAGAGAATATATTTGCCTTACCAACAATACCTGGGTGAGCAACATTAGTTGTAGTGGCATTAGCTGTGGGCTGCGATTTGTCTTCAATGGTAGACTAAACTTCATTCATAGCTGTCACCATAGATTTTCCTACAATCTTCTTCCTTGGCTTTTTTGAAAAATCCCACCACTCAGGATAGCCAATAATTTCATAACACCTTTGTTTTGAGTGACCTGATTCACCACAATGATCACAAACAAAATTGTTAGATTTTTCAGCTGATTTATTATTACGATTCTTCGTTGATCCAGATGATCCTTGTTAGGTTTGACGAGCCAGCATGGCAGAATGTTCAGAAATTGAGCGAGAGCCCCCCATTGTCTGTCTTTGTTGATGCTCCCACCTCACATATGCATATGCACTCTCCAAGTCAAGTTTTGGATCTTTTCATAAGATTTCTCCATGAACTTGATCAAATTCAGAATCAAGTCCACTTAGAAAAATATGAACTCGAAGCCTAGTCATGGCTGAATGTAATTGTACTACTCCTTCAACTGTTCCTTCTTGAGAGGCAGTTTTATGATCAATCTCCTGAAAGATAGCAACAAGTTCATTGTAATACGTTGACAAGGGTCTACCATCTTGTTTGGTAGAGAAAGRTTTTTTATTTAACTCAAAAAGGCAAGTTTCGTCTGATCCATCATAGAAGGTTTTTGATAGAGTCTCCCAAATTTCCTTGGCCGTGGAAAGTCGAATGAATCGCTGCATCAGCAAGGGACTCATGGAGTCAATAAGCCAACTTTTTACTGTTTGATTTTCAGTAATCYAGGTTGTGAAGGTAGGATCTTCAGGCTTGGGTTTTTTCGCTTCTCTGGTAAGATATCCAGATTTGTTGCGAGCTCCAATGCGCATCTCCATAAGTTGAGACCATAACGGGTAATTGGTTTCATCYAGTATGATACTGGTAGGAAATACAGAATTGTCTTGGCGGATAATAATCGGTGGTGTTTGATTGTAAGATGAAGTTGGGACGATGGAGGTAGTTGTTTGGGGGCTTGATATTTGACTAGCCATTGTTTACTAGTTTCGAAAGAAAGAAATACGAGATTCGTGTTCGAGCAAATTCTATTGGCAACGCTCTGATACCATGTTTCACAACAATGGCATTTACAAACAAAAGTTTTTCTCTTGTATTATATTCTTCTCTTTCTTGGAGGAAATATATAGGTGTAATTACATCTTACATAGGAAATAATCTTATTCTAACGCAACTATACAAATATTAATATACAGGATTTGGTAACTAATCAGATTCCTATAATCACGAAACTAACTACCATATTTACAAATGACAGCTCATTCTAACAGTGCACTTGGCAAAAACATTTGATCATATCCAAGGTTCAAAGTATCGACATGTATTGACCCATATCATCTAATACATATTGTTTCGAGACCCCTCCAATACGCCCCTACAGTGGATGTACCGAGGTCTGACCGGTTTAGGGGGTGGAGAAGTCCTAAATCGGCCCCYCTGAACCAGTTTTGAAAAAAAAAAATAAAACAAGTAAAAAAAAGGTATCGAATCACCCGATACACTGGTAGGGCGTATCGATATTTTGAACCTTGATCATATCTACTAACTATAAGGACCAAACTGGAGTTCATTTGCTGTGTGTAAGTGCACTAGCTTGCTGCATTGAAATGTTGCACCCAAAAACAACAGAAATGCGAGCTTTACTTTTGGCAGTGGAGATCGCAACTATATATTATTGTAGACAGGTTCAGGTTCAAGGTGATTGCTTGTTGGTCGTTACACACATGTAGGGGTGTCAGTTGAACTGGATTTGGTCCAATCCGGTCCAGTCCAATGTGAGTCCATTATAAATGGACCARGTCCAATCCAATCCAATGAATGTTTTGGATCAATTTGGACCGGTTCAATTCAATGTTTGGACTGCTCAATCTGTTTAAATTCATTTTGATTTAGATTGATTTCAACCCAAACCCGATCCATTGACATATATTCTTATCTTATATTAATGGAATAGATATTGACTTAATCCAACCCAATCTAATATAAATTTGTTACGGACGGACCAGGTCCAATCTAATATGTCTTATTGGTCCATCCAGTTTGTCCAAATTGATTTTGTACTGAACAGATCCAAACCAAAATTGGTCCATTGACACCCTTACACACATGTAAGGTTCAATGCCACATTCACCTTGGAGATGTTGGCATATGTTGAATGATGCCAACAATATTATTGGGTCACATGGCCAAATGTCCTGTTTACATGTTAAAAGACATATCGATGGACTAGCACATAAATTTGTTAGATGGTGTCTGGTGACTAAAAACTATGGACTTTGGGAGGATCTTGGATTTTTCAAGGTTAACTAACTATGGAGGGTCTTTGTTGCAAATGAAAGTTTAGGAGTAATAGCTAAAATGCAGGGCGGTAATGCATATTTTATTCAATAAATTATATAGTTAGGATCTCCTACAAGCAAAAATTCTGCTCATATAGCATCTACTTATCCATTGAGAATATCTCTCATATATGTTAAATTAATAAAGATATATTTTCAAGGTGGGGACTCCATTCCCATGCTTGCACAGGTGGGGATTTGTCGGAGATTCCAACTCAAATTATGAAGTTTTGATCTTTACCTCATAGGCACATCCCACCATGTATGGGAAACATCTTGCGAACTTTTGTATTATTATTCATGGGAAATGTTCCCAATGAGTGGTGAAATGTGCCTTGAGGTTGGTGTGAAGAATTCACATCTGCATCCCACTAGAGGGCGCCCCACAATGTCCTACAGCACATTTCCTGCCGTGTACTGGAAACATCTCCTATGATGTTATCATCATTTCTGATACTATGATGGGGAGATGTTTCCAATAGACGGCAGGGATGTGCGGGCGTTGTGGGGGTGGGGGCGTAGATCTGAATTCTGGTGTGCGGTGCGATATATGAGGGGCAGATCCCAATTCCAAAGTATGTGTGTGGGATTTACACTTCATGCCGGGATTCACGGAATCACGTTAGTCCGGGTCCGAGCATGGGGTAAGTACATTGTCATTGTCCGACTCGGGCGGGTCTGTGATCACCTTCAAAACAAAGGATAAGCTGGAAWAGAGCGGTCGAAGAGCTCCCCTTTACTCACCCACACAGCGATAGAAGCAATCAAGCAATAGACTGCAAGCACAAGAAGAAATGGCTCAAGCTCTGGCTATGCCTGTTGTGCCTTCACTTTCGATGCTCTGTAAGGGAGGGAGCCCATCTAATTCACTCTGCAGCGCTATCTATTTCCCCAATTCAACACCCCCAAAGGTACCCATTTCCTCTTCTTCTTCTTCCTCAGTTCTGGTTTGTTTTTTCGTTTTTTTCGTCTTTTTCTTTAAATTTTTGTAGTATCGTGGTCTGAGCATCCAATGCGCTCGTGTTGGAGGAGTTGAGATCCCAAACAACAAGCGAATCGAGTATTCTCTCCAGTATATTTACGGTATTGGCCGCACCAGAGCTCGTCAGATCCTCTGCGACCTCAACATGGAGAACAAGATCACCAAAAACTTGTCCGAAGAGGAACTCACAACCCTTCGTGAAGAAGTCTCCAAGTACGAGATTGAAGGTGACCTGGTAATTCTAATTCTCCCCCTTCCCCCTTCTCTATTTCATCTCTGTTGTCTACTCCCTCTCTTTGGTTTATTATTATTATTAAGTGGGTTTCTGGTTTTTGAGTTCCAGAGGCGTTTTAACGCACTCAGAATCAGGAGGTTGATAGAGATTCAATGCTATAGAGGGACAAGACATCAAAAGGGATTGCCTTGCAGAGGACAACACACGAAGAACAACTGCCGAACGCTGAAGGGTAAGAGGGTCGCTATTGCAGGAAAGAAGAAGGCCCCTCGTTGAGAACCAGGTTGTGTTTCTAGCTCCTTAATTTGTTTGGGTTACTGCTCAATATTAATTTTTAGTAATATATGGATTAAATTGCTTTATTAAATTAAGTGTCTTTCGTTTTGATGGATGTTCATAACTGGGTTCTGTAGATTATTTCTATCCTGACTCAATAGTGTATATGCTTTTTCCCTTGATGAGGGCATGTGAAGTTGGAATCTGACGGGTACTTGAAATAACTTATTTATTTATTTTTGGTTGAATATGCTTTCAAACTCATAGTGGCATCTTCAGATCATTTTCCATTGTTATCTTGGGCAGCCTGAACTCTTATTTGTAACCAATTATATTCTCTATTTTCACAATGTTGAATATCATGTGTTATTTCTTCTTGCACATCCATGCCTCAAAGTCCTGCCAGTGACTGTCCTGGCTGTAAATGGTATTGTTCAAGTAGTTGATCAATGACAAAATGTGCAGTCCTTAAACATAAAGTTATAGACGTTTGGTACATGAAAATTTTCCAATGGTCTTAATTTGTGAGGCAAATAGTTATCTCCATCTGATAAACAAATATTTATCTCCTTTTGATGGCTTCACTGTCTATGTTATTTTCCAAGTAACCCATGTATGTGTATAATTGTATCACCTGCTTTTTCATATACAATGCTCTTCAAACATAAAAATAAATATAGGAAGATCTATAAATGTTCTTTTCTTTATTGTCCTTTTAATTAAGATGTTATTTGGTACCGTTGCTGTTTATACCTAAAACATTTTGGGTTGATGAATATTAATTGGTGAGAGATATGTGTTGTCACATCACATATGAGAGTCACTTCATCCAGAATCTTTAGACTCCCCCCCTGGAGCAAGGAACAACAATTTGACAATTTGACATTTCTTCAAACAGCTATAAACAGCCACAGCTAACAGTTGTATGCCAATTTATATTGATCAACCCAAAATGTTTCTGGTAGAAGCAACAATGGTACCAAACAACCTCTAAGTCTACTTTGGATTTTGAGTCTTTTATTTAATTTTCTCTTGGGCTGGGTTACTGCTATATAGATAGAGAGAGTGGCACAGGAGAAGTCTCAAGTCTTTCTCTTTTATGAGCCAATATACACATTTGCATTTCTTTGTCCATCCAATGTAATTCTTGTATATGATAATGAAGAAGAGGCATGTAGAAGAATCTTTTTCCAGATAGGCAACTGTTGAACTTTATTAGATTCAAGAAAGAATAATATATGTACAACATGCCAAGCATCCATATTCATCAAAAAAACATACCAAGTATCCATATTTGTGGGCTGGCAAATAGCCACCTAACCCAGTTTTCTATTTATATTACAATTGAGCTCAAATAATCCATTTTACCCCTTGTTTGGCTAAGCCATTGTCCAAGCTATTTGCTGCGTCTTTGAACCCCTATCTCCCATGCCAGGTGTCTTGTCTCTCTGATGACGTGTTGATTCTGCCATAGACCTTGGGTATTTCCTCTCAACCAATCCATTACCACCTTTGAGTCCTTATCCACAATTATGCTTTTAAGGCTAGGTGATCTGGCCACCCTTAGTCCTTGTAATGCTGCTAGCAGTTCAGCCCTTTTAGGAAACCAATGACCAAACTAGCTTGGAGTATGTTGCTAATATGGATCCATGCCCATCCCTATATGCCCCACCAATGCCTGAAGGTCCTGAGTTCCTCATGTTACATCCATCATAATTTAATTTTATTTGGTTAACCCTTGGTGGGAAACTTGAACAGCTCCACCCCTTCAATTGATTGCTACTGATTCCCAAGTTTTACCCAATAAGCTACCTTCACAGCAATTCAATTAAAGGAATAGGAGATTAGTAAATGATAAGTAGGTTCTTTACTCTTCCATTATCAAAAGGGGGGAGGGAGGGGGGGGGGCAAATATGTGGGGATCAACACCAATTTGGTCTTTTCTTTTGAAGAGTTGCACAAGTAGCTGTTTTCACACTAAGAGCCTCTTTTGAGGCCCCAGCCCAAATGGCATCTTAGGCCCATACCACTAACCAGCCTGGGGACCAGCCCACACTACCAGTAGAAGCCCACGAGGAGCATAGCATGATGAAGAAGGACAACCGCCTAACCATTCGTTTTCTGTACACAAGGAAGACACGTCAGCCATGAACATTCCCATGCACATGTCGTGATCTCCTTGTAAACTTTATAAATATCTGAGAATAAACGAGTAGGGCAGACCTGGGAGAGAGATGACGAACACGAGATCCTCAGCAATGGAGGGTCGAATCAACAAGATTGAAGAAGAGCTTCACAAGGTGTTCAGGGAGATGAAGGATTTGAAGGATTCCATTTTGGTGGCAGCCAGCCAGTTCTAGAGGTCGTCCCAATCCAACCTGTGCGAAGGTGATAACGAAGGCTCTAGTCACTCCAGCCACTTGCACGCAAGTTCCAGATTCAGAAGGATGGCCAAGTTGGTGTTTCCCACGTTCTCAGGTGAGGATCCTATTTCCTGGATATTTAGAGCAGAAAGATTCTTTGAGATAAATGAAATTCTAGGGCATCAGCGTGTGCCGATGGCTTCGATCCATTTGGAAGGGGAGGCCATCTAGTGGCTCTAGTGGTATCGATGTTTTAACCCTCAGATTGGGTGGACGGAATTTACAGAGGCCATCTGTCACCGTTTCAGACCATCAAGGTTTGAGAACTTTGATGAGGCTCTGTTGGGACTAAAACAAATGGGGACAGTGAGGGAGTACCAGAACGAGTTTGAGAGGTTGGCTTCTCGGGTTTACGGGTGGCCTGAATCGACGTTGGTGGGAGCCTTCTTAGGGGGTTTGAAGGATGAGATTCTGTATGAAGTAAAGGCCTTGCAACCAGTCATCGTTAATGCGGCGGCCCACTTAGTCCGCTTGCATGAAGAAAGACTGAACAAGCTTAGACGGGTAACTAAACCAGCCTTGGCCGAACCAATCCTCAATAATCCTCTGACCAAAACTGAACCGTGTTCAACTAGGCTGGTTGGACCAAATGATTTACCCCTTAGGCGTCTCTCTTGGGCGGAGATGTAGTCACGTCGCGAACGTGGACTCTGCTATAACTGTGATGAAAAATTCGGACCCGGGCACCATTGCAAGAAACCCCAACTTTTCCTATTAGAGTCGGAGGATCCTGAAGAGGAGGGTCTTGTAGTTGTAGACGGGATCCCGGAAGTTGATGAGGAGTCTACAGAGCAGGGGCTAGAGATCTCCCTCCATGCCCTGACTGGATCTTCCTTACCTCGAACCATGAGGCTCAAAGCAGTGATCGGAGGTAGCCCGATGGATAGCGGGAGCTCTTTAAATTTTGTGGCAAAGCAGCTAGCTAACCAGCTCCACTTAGCGGTGGAGCCCGTATCGGCTTTCTCTGTCCATGTAGCCAATGGACACAAAATCAGTTGTGATGGGGTTTGTAAAGCAGTAAAGATCAAGGTGCAAGGACACATACTCCAAGCCGACCTTCACCCGTTGGAGTTAAGGGGGCCCGATGTGATTTTGGGCATCTAGTGGCTTCGACAGTTGGGCCAATAACTTGTGATTGGGCCCGTTTGACCATAACTTTCACAGTAGACGTGCAAAGTTGCACTCTCCAAGGCTTCGATTCGGGGCCCCCATTGCAAGAAGAATTCAGCTTAACAATCAAGCCAAGCCACCATTCCTCCCCACTTGTCATTCTCTATTTGGGAGGCAACCCGGTGGGGCCCACACTCAACCATCCAATAGGTTCAGTAGGTCTAGGAGGGAATCCCACAAAGTTATCCATACTACTGCAGGCTTACCAAGATGTTTTCTAAGAACCCATGGACCTCCCTCCGAAACGGGACCAAGACCATAAGATTCCCCTCTTGCCAGGGGCAAGTCCGGCCAATGTGAAAAACTGTACCATTATCCCCATTTCCAGAAGTCTGAAATTGAGAACATTGTAGCTGATTTGAAGAAAAAGGGAATGATACAGCCTAGTTCCAGCCCATTTTCCTCATCCGTCCTGTTAGTAAAAAAGAAAGACGGCACATGGAGATTTTGTGTTGACTACCGGGCCTTGAACCGTATCACGGTAAAAGACAAATTTCCCATACCATTTATCGACAAGTTGTTGGATGAATTAGGTGCTGCTACGGTGTTTTCCAAATTAGACTTGAGGGCTGGGTACCACCAGATCCGGGTTCACCCGGAGGATGTACCGAAAATGGCATTCCGGACTCACGACGGGCACTATGAATTCCTGGTTATGCCCTTCGGGCTAACCAACGCTCCGTCCACTTTTCAAGCTCTAATGAGTGATATATTTCGGCCCTACCTCAGGCGGTTCATCCTAGTATTCTTCGATGACATTTTGGTGTATAGTGACAGTTGGGAATCTCATCTACAACATCTGAAAATTACTTTGGGGGTCTTGAGGCAGCATCGACTTTACGCCAAGAAAGACAAATGCCTATTCAGCCAGACGGAGGTGCACTACTTGGGCCATATTGTCTCTCAAGGCCAGGTTAGATTTGACCCTGATAAGATTGCAGCCGTGGTTAACTGGCCCATTCCAGATTCTATACGGGCCCTCGGGGGGTTCTTGGGCCTAACCGGTTACTATAGACAGTTTATAAAGAACTACGGCCTGATAGCCGGTCCACTGACCCAGCTACTCAAAAAGAATGCATTTCTTTGGGATGGCCAGGCCCAAGCCGCATTCTAGGCTCTCAAACAGGCCCTGTCCACACCACCCACTCTCGCCTTACCGGATTTTTCTCAAGAGTTCATAGTAGAGTGTGATGCATCTAAGTCCGGGGTGGGAGCAGTCCTTATTGCCTACTTCAGTAAAGCGTTGTCTATCCAGGCCCAGCTGAAGTCTACCTATGATAAAGAGTTGATGGCGGTTGTTCTCTCGGTATTAAAGTGGCGATCTTATCTGTTGGGTCACTCACAAAGCCTCAAGCACTTGTTAGAACAACCAGTGCACAACCCAGATCAGCAGAAGTGGTTGTATAAGTTGTTGCGGTTTCTACCAGGTGGAGTACAAGCCCGGTGCAATGAACAAGGCAGCGGACGCTCTGTCCTGCAGCCATGAAGTGTCCATGTTGGGCCTCTCCTGTCCCAATTTTCCTATCTTGGCTAGGCTCAAGGAAGAAGCCCACCTGGACGAAACAATTGAAAAGCTTGTTTAGAGACTTAAAGCAGATCCCGCTACAGTCCCAGGGTTCTACTTAGTGGGGCCAGATCTGTTCTTTAAAGGGTGCCTAGTGATTGCAGCCCAATCAAAGTTTCTCCCAGAGTTACTCCAGTTATTTCACTGCTCTACCTTGGGTGGCCATTCAGGAATATTCCGGACCTACCGCAGGGTAAGCCAGCACTTGTTTTGGTCAGGGATGA